AGGCTGGGATGCCCGGGGCACTCGGAAGAGGGCTGGTGGCCGGGCTCTGGATGCGGGGCCGGATCCTGTTCTGGGTCGGGGGGCTCCGGATCCCAGCGCGCAGGGCTGCAGGGCTGGGTGCGACGTGTTCAGTCACGGGCAAGTGCCTGGCTTTCTCCCTGGCCCGGGTCTCACGGCTCCCGGGGGGGAGGCCCCGAGCCAGCGGGCAGGGCATGGTGTTCCCTCACCTCCAGGTCTTGACCCTCCAGGGAGCATCTGTGCTGCCAGCTGTCACTTCCCAGGCGCCGGGGAGAGGCCAGGACAAGTGTGGGGGGCTGGCTGGGGCCAAGCTGTCCATCCATCTATCCGTCCGTCCATCCGTCCGTCCGTCTGTCTGTCCCCAGGCAGGGCTGAGGGAATTCCTTCCCATCCCCAGGCTGGCCGCGCTCTCCTGGGATGGGGCAGCATCTCCCAGGGGGACACGGCGAAGCCAGGGTTTCTTGGGTGCCCTCGTCCCCCCAACATCTCTTGGATGGAGAGGGAGGGAGGCAGCGCCCAGCCCCGGGGCCCTGAGTCTGGCAGGAGGCACCCGGTGCTGAAGGCAGCACAGGGCAGGGGCGGGCGGCAGCCGGAGGCAAGGTGTGTACGTGCACTCAGCGGGCGTGTGGAGGTGCATACGTGAGCCCAGCCAGCACGTGGGCACCGGGCTCGTATGTGCTGGCCCCTGTGGGCGGCTGCGCGTTTTGCTGTGTGTGCAGGCGGAGATGCGTGTTTTCACATGCACGTGCAGGCAGGTGTGTGCTGCCATTCCTGTCGGAGGGGTGTACACGCAGGCATCCGTGTGCCTGCGCACATGCGTGTGAAGGTGTAGATAGATGGGAGACAGGTGCCCAGCTGCACATATGGATAGGCAGGCATGCGTGTGCATGCAAGTGTGAATGCATGGGGGTGCGCTCTTGCAGGTTGCGTGCAGGTGTGGATGCACTATGGGGTGTGTGGGGGACAGGTGCGGGGAGAGGATGCACAGGCATGAGTACACGGGTGTGCACCCAGCCTGGGCACTGAGGGAGGTGGAGATGGGCACGGCGGAGGCAGGGCTGCCACGTGGGGCAGGGTGGAGCTGTGAACGCCCCCCAAACTGGTGCACTGGGAGATGCCTTGAGGGCAGTGACCCCAAGTGTGCGCGCAGTGGAGCGCGGAGGGAGCAGGTCGCTGCCCGGGCATAACGAGGGTTCACGGAGCCGCGGCTGGGCCCTGCCCTGCAGACGTGGGGCGTTAGGGTGGCTGGCAGTAGAGCCCCGAGACCACAGGGTTCCTGTGTCCAGGGGGTCATGCAGGGTCGTGGCCGTGCTGGGGGATCCCGTGCCCATGCCTGCTTGCAAAGCCGGGGCCAGCTGGGTGCAACCACCTTGGTTAACCCCGAGGGGTGGGAGCAGGGCATGGGGTATTTGCAGGCTTCTGGCCTTGGCCTTGGGGCCTAGCTATGTGGGGTGGGCTCTCCCAGTGCAGCTTTGCCTGGGGGGCTGGGCACTGGTGAGGAAGCCCCCCCCGTAGCACGTGCCGCCTCCCCGGGGCGCATGGGGTTGTGGCTTGCAGGTGGGGAGCTGGAGGCACTGTGGGGTGGCAGAGGAGGGCTCTGGGGGCAGGGGTCCCAGTCAAGGCATGCTCAGGGGGGAGCCTCCAGGTGCAGAGCCGAGGAGCTGTGTTGGCCCCTGGCGACGTGCCCCGGCTGGGCAGGACATGGCAGGAGCTGGGGCAGGGCCTCTGCCACCTCCCTCCCCTCTGGGCCACGGAGGATGTACGTGTGCCGAGGCAGGTAGCTGCTGCGGCTGCCCTTGGCCTCCCGCCCTCTGCTGCCGGCTCCTCAGGTCCTCTCCGCCCTGGCGCCGTCCTGGCAGGGCCCCAGATCCTCACCCGCCCGGGCCTCCAGGCAGTGAGCTTCCATGCAGTGGTGCCCTGCTGCTGCCTCCAGTGCTGTGAGCTTCCTCGCAGTGGTGCTCTGCCGCTGCCCCCAGCGCTGTGAGCTTCCTTGCAGCAGTGCCCACAGCTCCCTTGCTTTCTATAATCCCGTTCCCTTTCCTGGGCTACCCAGGTCTCTCCCTCCCGGCCCTACAGCCCGGACCCGTCTTTCCCTGTGAAAGTGCAGGCCAGGGGCACGTTGGCCCGGCCACGACATACAGGCTTTTCTCCCGGGCGGGGGCTGTGTCCTGCGTGGGGATGGCGCCGGCAGGGGCTGGGCTAGGGGGAGGCTGGAGCACCCCTCTGCACAGCTGGGCATGGGGTTTGGGCAGCCCCTCTCCTCAGGATACCTGTAAAGCTTAGCGGGGTGCTCCTGGTTCCCGGTCCCATGCTCGGTCCCGGCTCTTGCACCAAAGCCTCCTGGGACACGCCGTGCCTGTGCCGGCTCTTGCTCGGCTGCTCGATGCCCCTGGCCCCGTGTGGGGCTGAGAGAGCCAGGCTGGGCCGGGCTTCGCGGAGGGGCACCCCCAAAGCTGTCTCCTCCCAGCCCCCGCGGGGAGCGAGAGGCCGGCGGGAGCCGCGCCAGAGTCTCTCCCTGCCTGAGAAAGGCCGTGCCGACGTGCTGGGGGGGTGAGGGGGAGATGCCCAAGGCTCCGGCTGTTCCCTGCCCTCGCGGAGCCTCCCTCGGGGACCGCTGCAGCCACAACGAGCCCCATTGTGCTGACCCTGCCGATGGCGTTCCCAGGCCCGGGGCGGGGGGGCCCTGCCTGCCTGCCTGCAATCTGCTCCCACACCCTGGCTCTCAGCAGCCGCGCGGGGGGGGGGCGACGGACTCAGGTCCTGGTGGGGCTGGTGCTGCGAGCTTCCTCGCAGCAGTGCCCAAGGCGCGGGTGGCTGGTCAGACCCGGATCGGGGGGCTTTCACTAGGATTGGGGTCAAGCAAGCCCCTCTCTTGCCCAGCCTGATGTCTGCTCTCTCCTTTTGCAGGGAACCCCCCAACCGGAGACCCCTCATCCCCGTGGGTACCCGGCACCGGGAAGAGCCGACGCTGGAGCTGTCCCCGGCTGATGCGGCGAGGGGTGTAGGGGGCTGGAAGGAGCCCCCAGCGCTGCCCCCCATCACCCCGCAGCTCGGCCACGAGTCCCGGACTGGTGGGCGGCGCGGGAAGCGTCACGCCGCCCGCTTCCACCACGGCCAGCTCATGCGTGTGGGCTGCGTGCTGGGCACCTGCCAGGTGCAGAACCTCAGCCACCGCCTCTGGCAGCTCATGGGCCAGTCGGGGCGCCAGGACTCGTCCCCCATGAACCCCAACAGCCCGCACAGCTACGGGTGAGGCCGTCCCGGCGCCGCCTCGGACCAGCGGACTGCCCCGGGCCGCCATCGCGTCTCCTGCCCCTTGTGTAGGATCCTTCACTAAAGAGCTTCCAGACACACGAGCCCCGGTTTCTGCTTGCTGTGTCTTCTGGGCCCACGGGCACGTCCCCAGCCTGGGGGACCCTGCAGAGGAGCCCCGTGGGCTGCCGGAGGGGCGGCTGCAGATGAGGAGGAGGAGGAGGAAGGTTGGGATGGGGGGAAGGCGGATCGCGGCTGGCTCAAGCCCCGGGGGAGAGGGGTAAAGCCAAGGGCCTGGCTGCACAGGGGAGTGGTCCCTGGGCTTGTCCTGAGCTCCAGGTCACGACTCCCCTGCTCTGCCCCTCACCTGCGGTGGCTGCATTTTGGCTGGGGGCTGCAGCGGCGGGGCCATCCCACCCCCTTGCCAGGACGCGAGCGTCCGTCATGCGACTGGAGGCGGGAGGGGGCCTGGTCTTGCCGCCCGCAGGACACTGACCCCGGGTCCAAGGGGCGCCCGGGGCCGCGCTGCATCCTGCTGACTGCAGCAGCAGCAGCCGGCGCTTGTGCAAGTGCTTAGCCGAGCAGATAGCGCCGGCCGGGATGGGGCTGGCCCCCGGCCGCCCACGGCCTCTGAGTCAGCAGCTTCCCTGCCCTGGCACGGCGCTGCCGGGATTCGTGGCGGGAGCGGGGCCCAGTGCCCCATGACCCCCTCTCTGCCCCCCGCACGGCTTGATACAGCCGCACTGCGCTGGCGAAGGGGCTGCCAGCTGAGTTGGGCGCTCCTCGGCTTTCCCCGGGACGCAGGACAGGACAGGACAGGACGCCGGGTCTGCTGCGTCAGCCCCCGGCCCCCTCCGTCCTGGCTCGGCTCCGGACTCACCCCAATTGCCGGGCACCAGGCCTCTGCAGAGCTGCTTTGCAAACACCGGCGGCTGGGCCTCTCTTCTGCTCCCTGCCCACCTCCTCCGGCTCCGGCTGCCTCGGGGCCGCCCTGCGCCCACCCCTGCCTTGCTGTGGCACCCGTCCTTGGGAGAGATCCTGCTGCCTGGGAGCGTCTGGGGATGGACTGGAGACGCACGTCGCACCGGGACCCTCGCCGTATTCCCTGCCTGGGAGGCACGACGCGCTGTGCTGAATGCATCTGGAGCTGGCCAGACTGCTCGCCGACAGGGGCAGATGTAGGATTTTGAAAAGGGGGCTGCAGAGGGCGAGGGGCATCGGTGCATATGGCACAACACATGTTTTTCTCCCGTTTAAAAATAAACTAGAAGCTTTACTAACACGCCAGGGGCCTGTGGCTGCTTGATTTGGTGTAAGATGGAAGCAGAAACAGGTAACCGCTTCACTGGAAGGAGCGAAACACAACCTGCCGGGCTGCGACATAGGAGCGTCGGGACCAGGAGCAGCTGCAGGGTGGCAGGCGTCGGGACGAGGAGCAGCTGCAGGCTGGCAGGACTGAGGCCAGCTGGACTGGTGGGACATCAAGACCATTGAAAAGGAGAGAGGGGCGTTAACGCCTGTGGGGTGAAGGGGTTAGCAGGAATCGGTTAGGTGACAATGAGCTGCGAAGTCCAGGGGTGTCGAGCTCTGGGTGGAGCAGGAAGTCAAAGGGGTGCAGGGCCCACCCCCACACAGGGAGCCCCCCCTCCTGCCAGGCACCCCCGGAGATGGGGTGACGTGCCTGAGCCCAGCCTGGCGCAGCCCTGAGTGCCGGGAGCCTGCCCGAGCCGCGATGCCCTGCAAGCTGGTTCCTGCACCGGCGTGTTGCACGGATGACTCATGCTTGGCTCGTGGCCCGTGTGGCCCACGTGACGCGTGTGCCCGCTGGGCAGGGCAGCTTGCCCGGCCTGGGTGGCAGCCAGCACCTGAACCTCTGGGCTCTGCTCCTCTGCGAGCCCGGAGATCGGCTCCTCCCTGCAGGGCTGTGCCCTCCTGGAGAGCTGGGGACCCCCCTGCACTGGTGATCTCCTGTCCCTGCTTGCGCCTGCCCGCGGCCCCCCGAGCCGGGTTTCTGGGGTGCCTCGTGCTTGCAGACCGGAGACCGGTGGGCATCCACTGTGGGCTGCTCCCACTTTCCTGGGGGCAGAGGCGGCTGGTGGATCCTCGATGCTAGCGCCAAGAGTGGGGAAGGGCTGCAGCACTCAGCCCCCAGCTCGGGTGCAACCTGCCCGGTCTCTCATTGTTGAATGTCTCGGGAACAGCTCTGGGCCGATCTGCTCGCTCCACCGCTTACTGGGCATGGGGCCGTCTCCCCTCCTTGCCTGCTGCTGCACCCCGAGCCCTGGGGTGCTGCTCCTGAGCTTTGGGCTAAGGGGCTAGCACCCACCCCAGCCCCGGAGAGCCGCTGGGGACACGCAGCCCCCGACATGTGGCTCCGGGGGAATCCACCCCCCGTGCCCATTACAGTTCCTGTGCCCCCAACCCCAAAGTGTTGTGCTGCCTTGTGCAATCAGCATTGCAAAACGTAGCACAACAGGACACAACAGCACAGCTCTCGGCCTCTTCCCCCACCGGGGCCGGGGGAGCAGAGCCCCCCAGAGATACAGGAGACCCCTCCTCACCCTCCAGGCTCCTTCCATCACAGTCGCCAGCTCCCAAAGCCTTTGGGCCTGCTCTCCGGGCTCCTCCCCTACCTCCTCTCCCTTTGCAGAGACCACCCACTGCTCCCTTTGACCTGCCCTCTCCGTGCCTCAGTTTCCCCACATCACCGAGCTCCCAGTGCCTGCCTCCCTAGGCTAGTGGGAAGGTGCGAGGACCAGTTAGCCCATCTCTGCAGGGCAGCTGTGCACAGGGGAATGGGGGGGATAGGGGCATGTGCCCCTGGCTCTGTGTTTTTGGGGGTGCTGAAGCCTGGAGGGTTTTAGCCTTGACCTTCCTGGCAGGTCTCTGATGCCTCCCCGGAGGTCTGTGGAGTGGTCCAGGCTCCCAGGGGAAGGCCAGGGCACGAGGAGGGCAGAGGTTAGTGGGAGGGGAGAGGTTCAGGGTGGGAACGCCAAGCTGTTTACAATCTCTCTTAATTGCACTTGAATTAACCGTGAGCTTGTGACAGTGCTGTGCTGGTCCGGCGGGTGGGAACGCCGCGCAGGGCTGGGCCAGCTCTGCCGGGACGGGGCCAAGGCGCCTCGTGGTCCCAGCAAGGGGCTGGTGGGTGAGACCGGGTGGGTCCCTCCCCTGGGAGCTGGGACAGGGTGGTCCAGCTGGGGCTGCCCATTCCAGGCCCGCTGGTCCCTTCTCGGCCAGGGAGGATGGACGGAGAGGAGCTCAGACGTCGCCGGGTTGCAAAGCAGGGCAGAGAAGGGGCAGCAGCCACCCGGCAAAAGGGGGTAAGGGGCAGCCTGTCCCCTGGGGCGCGTTGCAGCTGGATCTCATCTCGGGCCCATCCACGGACGCAGCGATCGACGGCCTAACCCAGGGGTCGGGGCGAAGCCAGCTGGAAACACCCCTGACCCCCCAGACGAGGGGAGAAGGAGGTCCCGAATACACCCTGTGGAAGGAGCTCTGCGCCAAGCCCTGGCCAGCACGGATGAAAAGTCCTGGAAAAACCCAGCCTTCCCTTTTCATCAGGAGCAGTCATTAGCGCCGGATAAGCCTGAGCCCCTCCCCGGGGAAGCAGCCAGCGGTGCAGGGAGACGTGCATGCAGGAGCAGAAGATAAGGAGCCGGGGAAATAAATCCAGGGCAGGGGTGAGCGTGACGCTGCCCGCACTGCTGCCCTCTTCCAGCCGAGCAAACCACCGCCGTGCCCACGGCCGAACTCCCACGTGCACACACGCCAATGCCAGCCCCACACAGACGAGCGTGGGGAAGTTCACGTCTTGCTTTGGGGGCAGCAGGGGGTTGGTGGCCGCGGCCCCCCTGCTTTCCCTGGGGCAGGGGCAAGGGCGAGGGGCGATGCCCGGGGTTGTATTGGGGTTAGGGGTGACTGCATCGTGTTGCTCAGGGGTTTGTCTGGGGTGGCTTGGACAGGGCTGATCCCGCCAGCCCTGCTGCTCTGGGATTTCCATGAACCCTGCGCGGGCCGTGTGCTTGCTGCCGATGCCCCGGGAAGGGGCCACGGCACCACCTGCATAATCCCGAGGGCGCCGGACAAACTTGGCAGGTGCTCTTTTTTTGCATCAGGCACGGCAAAGTCGGGGCTTGGATAGACGTCGGGAGGGGAAACGGGCCAGGGCTGCAGCTGGGGTAACTTGATGCCCGCCGGTTGCCGCCAGCTGGGAATCCGGCCCCACGTCTGGAAGGTGGCACGTGTCTGAGCCTGGCTCTCCGAGGGGCGGCTCGCTCTCGCTGTCTGTATCGGGACCCCCTCCAGCCACAGCCGCGTCCCGGGAGGCGGTGGGCGAGCCTGCGGTGAACAGCTCGGCACCGGGACAAGGACGAGACGCGGCAGGTGGAGGAGACGCAGGCGCGGCAGGGAGAGCGAGGTAAGCGCGGGACGAGCCTGTTTCCACGTAGCTGTCGGCAGCTCCCCGCCTGCACCGACCCGCTTTGGGCCCGGGGCTCAGGGCTCGGGGCAGAGGGAGCTGCAGACACGGGGATGGCACCAAGGGAGGGGTGACGGCGGGATCCAGCTGGTGCATGCAGGGGGCTATATCCGACCCCCGCACAGCTGGGAGGTGGGGAGCTACAATCATCACGCCCTCTGGAGCCGTGCGAGTGCACGGAGCTGTACAGGGCCAGCGAGGACCAGGCAGCCCGTGCAGGTGCGGGAAGCATCCCGCCCTACTCCCAGCAGGTCCTTTCCCAGACCCGGGGGGGAAGAGAAAGGAGCCACCGGGGCCAAGCTGTCTTGTCTGTGCAGCCCCAATGCCCGGGGCCCTCGCGGCCCCCCAGGTGCTTCTGCTGCTCCCCCAGCGCGCCCTGCGCAGACGCACGCGGGCGTCCCCCCACCCTTCGGCTGCCAGATCCCACTCTTAATCTGGCAGCAGACAAGCTGGCAGGTCGAGGCCAGGCCGGGGGAGACGGGGGCCCGTCCGCCCTCTCCAGAGCAAAGATGCCCCGACATCAAAGGCCTCGTGCTTGCAGTGC